CGTTTAAAAATTGATCCTCTGTTAAACCATCGTCATAGATTACTTCCTTGCGTTGTCTTTGCCCACGGCCATACTCAACTCCAGTATCGGGACGTGTCTCATACTCTCTCAGATATACATCAGGCAACTCGTTCTCCTGTATAAGTCTATTGGGTACGGGTCCGAGATTACCTTTTTTACGTGGGTTTCTAATATCATTCTTGCGCATTAATTTTTGCCGTAATATTGATGTTTTTCAATATTAATATTTGTCAATCTTGAACTTTGTTTTAGGCTGTTGAAAATAATGAAGATCTTGAAGGCCTAATCGCTAAAAAGCAGTTACGTCGACAAGCAAAGAAGAAACGTAGAGAGACCGTCAACACTGAAGAATCGTCGCCTCACCCTAATGAGCTTGATGATTTATTAGATACCACTGTGCAAACACAACCTACTTCAGGGGTTATAAATAGGATAACACTTAAACGTACAGTAGGTGAAATCGAAGCTGATGAGACGGAAGAAACGCAAGATGCAGATGCATCTGTTGATACGAACGCTACTCCAAGGGTTTCTCGGCGTAAATCTAGGAAATTATCACATTCTATTAAAGAACAATCTTATCCGGGCCAAAAAAGGGGCCGTAAGCCTGATATGATTGTAGATTCAGAAGAAGCCGCTGCTACAGTTGTTGAGGCACTTACAGAATTATCAGTGATTTCTAATCAGAAAAAACGGGGCAGAAGGCGCAAATTCGATGGTGTCGAAGGTGACAATGAATCGTCATCTTCGGTTAAAAAAAAGGGTAAAAGTCGTAAAATAGATAACGTTGAAGTTTTCATAGAACCATCAACTCTAGTTAAAAAAAAAGGAAAAGGGCGTAAAATGGACGAAATCATTGATGATGATGCACAAGATGTATTAAAGCTAGTAAGATTTTTTCATATTTTTATATTTTTTATGTTACATTATTCGATATGTTTAATATATATATGTTTTTCTCATAAAGAAACTAAAGAAGCCTAGTAAAGAAGAGTCATCACTGAAGACTATTCTTACAGAATGTCTTGACTATATTGAAACATTGACTGATGAAACAAATGGGTACGTATTCAAACTTAATACCATATTGTCGCGAAATAACGCGCAGGGATGAAATTACGAATTTCGGCCTAAATTAAGCTTAATTCAGGCCATTATTCTAAATAACGCCCATGCCCGTTATTTCGCGATAATACGGTATATTTAGCATTCAAGTTTATTTAATATTTAACATAAAAATCGTATAGAATGACACGCAGAAGAGCCACTCTTTTTCTCGAACTTCCAAGTAGGAAGAAATACCCATATTATTATGAACAAATTGAGCATCCTATTGCAATCAATATAATTCGCCAAAAAATAAGCCGCGATGAATACAAAACGACAGAGGAGTTTAAGAATGACGTATACTTAATGTTTGATAATGCTAGGACTTTTAATATTGAAGGGTCCCAAGTTTACGCCGATGCAGAAATTATGCAGGTAAAAGAAATTAATATTTATTTTGATATGTATTTCTAATAGAGAACAAATCCTAAAAATAAATTTGCTTGTAGGCCGCGTTTGATGAAAAATTTAAAGCATTATGTGATAACTAGTGATTGTAATTGATTAAAAACTTATAAGCTTAGCCGAGTTGATAATTTTAACACGGCTAAAACGTTTAGTCGATTATTATCTTAATTAAAATTTTAAAGCATTATGTGATTGTAGTCGATTAAAAACTTATAAAGCTTAGCCGAGTTGATAATTTTGACACGGCTAAGATGTTTAGTCGATTATTATCTTAATTAAATTTGTCAATAATAAACTATAATACAGAAACTCGTTTGCCATGCCCGTATTTTATGTTTTATTTTACATAAAAAATCTAATGTTTCCAAAAAAAAAATCGTAGTGTATTTTACAGTGAATTGATGCCCAGTGGACGTAAATGTTTGATTCGAACTTACTCGACTTAAGTCTTAATTATAGATGTAGACTATCACTATAATAATTTTATCTAACCATTGATAACATCATTATATATATGGATTGGACAACTAATTTTAAAGAACTTTATGGACGTTGGCTTTAGTTTGCTAAATAAATTTTAATATTTATTTTTTGAATTAAAAATACCATCGTAAATGTCTAGATCTAATGCACTAATTGTCATTTATTGCTATAATCAAATGTCTATTCAACATTAAAACGTGTTCTATTATATTGTATACGTAACATTTTATCATAAGAAAAACAATGTACAAAAAAATAATTTACCAGGAAAAAAAAAAAATACCGAATCGGTTAAATTAAAAACCCTATTTACTCTGAATAATTTACAAAATATTCTACTTAAGCTATTGGTTTTAATTACAAATTATTATACTCATTATGTAATTATCTTACCTAATGATACCAACAAATTAGTAGTTTCATAGAACGTTATTAGGAAGAATTTATAACGCGATGTACATTACTAATGTTGGAATTTACATGAAATCCTCTTTCGTCCGGTATATTTTGAATAGTTTTAATATCAAAACATAGACCGTCTAGAGGTTTCATTTTTTTCTTTAAATATTGAATAAATAACGTATGTGTCATTATACTCATATTTCCGCTGTAAATGACTCCCTCAAATCCCTAGGCAGACCTGATATTATAATGTCCGCTTGAGCTTTTAATTTTTCTCGTTGTTTAGGTGTTGGTATTGATAGTGATATATTATCACACTCTCGATTAACCAACGATTGAGAATTTGGTGATGAATCTTGCTTTGTTGACAATTTCTGTACATTTAAAATTCAAGAAATTATTTTAATAAGAAAATTTTATAAACAAAAATTTAATGATATATTAAATATAATACCAATTCATCCTTGACTCTGACTAATAGATCTACCAATTCCATTTCATGCTTGCCGGCCATCCATGTTTTTACATCACCTTCACAAAGTACTTGTAAATATCTTTTACGTAACTCATTCTGTGCTTCTATCGTACGTTGTCTAAGCCAAGTTGCAAAGTTACCACATTTTAAAAATTGTGCATAAAAGTTTAAATACGTTTCAGTCGCATTGGATGGAAATTTTTTCGATTTAAATGGAATTTGTGGTCCTTGATGGTGATAAGAATAAAGTCAATAATCTTAAAAAATAAAATAAAAAATAAAATAAAATAAAAATAATTATTTATGTTTACCATGCTCTTGCAAAGATTTTAAAAAACCATCCATTTTAAATGGTTTGAGTTGTGGAGGATCTTGTGAAGACGAAAGTGTACTAACAAGACAGTAAAAGATGTATGTTAAAGTTTATATTAGTCTTAAATGAGAAAGATAAATATACTGTTTAACCTATCAATAAACATACATATGGAATGGAATCAGTGTAGAGAAATAACGATTCAGTGGCACTAAAAACTTTTCTGTGAGATCTACGAAATATCGTCTTAAAATATTATTTAATAGGTAATCTACAAATAATAATAAAATTTAGTTGTGAATGCTTAAACACTGTGCGTAATAAGACCTACATAAATGCACCCATTATATAAATATCTTTAAATACATGATATAGTTCTACAGCTGCACGATTTTCTAAATGAACACTGCTTATTATTATTATGATTATCCCAAGATGCATTTAGGAAGGTTTTATGTATTTGATTTCTGATTTGAATGTACCTGGAGGATAACCACGAGCCACTGCTTCTGCTAACCGCTTTAGTATAGCCTTATCTTTGGCTATGACAGATTTACGTTTACTTTTTACACCTTGAACAAAATCTAGTGATGACGCATGTGACCCTCTCCACGAATTATAACCATCTACTCCTTTTCTTTTATGTTCACGTGATAAAATGTTAATGAATTAAATAATGTCAAATCGAAAGAATATTTTAAAAACATTCGATGAATACCTTATTTTTGGCTTCCCTACTCGAACTAAGTTTGGCCAATGAGCGAGTGCTTTAACAAAGAAAGGGTTTGTTACGCCGATTATTACATTAGAAGGTGGCTATAATGCAATCATCGTTAAATCTGGAAAATAAATAAATAAATATATATATATATATATATATAACACGTACTTTATTTTTTGTTACAAAAGATTTAAAATCCAAATCTTGAATTGTGAAATACGGGCGATAATCACCACAATATGGTATCTAGAATATAAGTTCAATTTAAACAATTACATTATAAGAAATAATAGATCAATTAAAACAAACCCTTACAGGATTTATGATATCCATCAATTCAAGTACCGCTTCACTACAAATTTTTGGATCTGGAGCCATTAAAACAATAGGCTCTGCAAATAACATTAGCTCCCAACATAACCATAAATCTTTAATCATGTCTCTGAAATGAGTAAACATTGATGTGGGGGGTAATGATGCAAGTATTTGAAGTTCAGGATGATAATTCGCCATGTCAAAAGGACAAGTTTCAAGAAGTTGTGGCTTATTCGGTTGTGGGATTTCAACTTGTATAACATTTCCAAGAAAGGGAAGATCAAATAATTTACTCGGAGATGGTGATTTCCTTATATGTATGAATGTAAATAAACATGTTAAAAGTTTATTATTTAATAGTTCACTCTAGAATTAATAATAACAAACCAGCTAGCAATATCGTGGCATGCTGCTTCGAGCATTGGATTGCCTACTTCAAAGTATGCAGGGCCAAGAATAGATACCACTCTTGAGAAAAGACCAACATAAGGATATTGAGATAAGAGAACTAAAGATCTCTGAAATATGAATGAAATACAGAATTTAATAATAAAGTATTATCCTGTGATAAACTGATGTTAATAAATTTGACGTGCAATTACCTGGAAGTATCCACGTTTTATTCGCGGATCTTTTTTCTGTCGGAAGAATACATAGCCATACAAGAAACCAGCATCGGCTGTTGGACCTGATGGTTAAAAATAAAATATTTTGAATTCTTGTGATATGATTATATTATTTCATTTATTAACAAGAATTAAATGTAATAATTTTTTTTTTAAGAAATTATGAAAATAGCTAATTGCGATATTATTTATGTTTTTGATATTTAAAATAATCGCTAGTAATATAGTTCTTAAGCAAATACAGTTATAAAGTTATTTAAACCATATATGAATACCACCAAGGAAAAACTCGTCATCGGACTTTCAATTATATTTTGTTCTAGACTCCAGGACTCGTCCGTTAAAAATTTGATCAACTACGTATATATTATACATTAAGTATATTATGGATGAGTTTCTGGAGTCCGAAATGAAATACACTGCAATTGAAAGCTGACGATAGGTTTTCCCTTGGTAGCACTATCCAAGGTTAAATTTTAAGCTACTAACCTGAAGCAACCAGACCTGATTTAGAACATCTTATACGAAAATTGAAAACAGTATCACCAACATCAAATGAATTTGAATCAGGAAAAGCAGAAAAGCAAATGCTTTTCTTTTCTTCTTCATCTAATTCAGAGGGTGGATACATAGAATCCATTGCCTGACCTAATTCTAGATCAAAATTGACTACACAAAAACACACCATCCAATTTCTAAAATTGTCCAAAGCTAACAATTCAACGATGTCCCAGCTACTACGTCGACGAATTTTCTTATCCCGCCTGGTATTTTGATTCTCATTATTGTCATTCTGTAACACATTATTAGGTTTATTGCATACTTCAGATAAAGGTTTAGTTGTTCCGTTTATTTTTTTTGCATTAGATTCAGGTAAACTTTTTGATACTTCAGTAGTAAAAATTTCACATTCACTAAAAGGGTTTTTAGTGAGACTCGGAATTTGGTGGTTAACACCCAAAATGTCAGAGGTACTTTTTGCATGTGAGTATGATCTACTTTTTTTAAAGTATTCACCAGTCTTTGTGGCCTCTGATTTAAGGCTTGTAGTAAATGGAGAAGAAGTGTAAGAAGGAGAATAAGAAGAATAGCGCGATGAAGCAAATAAATCTTTAGTCGTTGAATTCACTGGTGACGAAGACATATAATGTAAATTTAGGCTGCTACTTTTGGGCGACGTCGAGGAAGTTAAAGTCACTAGTTTGCTTTCCAACACAGGACTTCCAGTTATCGGAGACATTTTGGGTGGCGTCAACGGTGTAGAAATGTTAGACGAAGTCCTTCGTGCTGGAATAACAATTGATGGGGAAGGTGAATGAACTTCAAAAGTAAAAGGAGTTTCCCTAGTCATATTTTCTTTTTATATGTAAAAACCTGTCTGGCCTATCTATGGCTTATCTATATACTTTAATAAATTCCAAATTTTTTTTTAAATGTATAAAAATAACTTATATACAATTAACATTCGGTACACGCGAAAATTTCCTGAAATAGTGGTTACTATGCTTCTATATATTTAAAGAGAAACTAGAATTATCCATACGTACGAACTATTTATAATGTAAGTATATATATATTTTTTATTAATGCAATAAACAGCGCACAAACTTACAAGGTCGGCACAAAGAAACAAAAATCGAGATTTGCAAATCCTCAGAGAATCATTTTATTGTTGTTACCATGAGATCACTTTTAATATTATTTAAACAAATTAAATTTTGTATGATAAAAATCATGTGTCCTTGGCATTTACTACGATCTTGGATCATATAGCCGAGTTAACGTAATTATTTTTTATTAGGTTACAAAAAAATATTAATTTATTATCGTTTTTATTTATAGACTATTCTTAAAATATCTATATTTCTTAAAAAAAACATCGATATTTGAATACGTAGTATATGATGACGATAAAATGAACAATATACTAGATGAAATTCGGACAATAGGCCTCTGGTACTACGACACGGCTGACTTGTGAACCAATTTGAATCCTTGCACAAAACTATGTTAATATAACCAGATAAAAAAACCCGTAAAAAATAAAATATACAGGTTTGGATTTAACAAAAAAAACGAGGAATATTTTACTATGAGCTGGCTTGTTTAAAATTCGAGATTTCGATTTTTATCCATTCATTTGTAGAATAATAGTTCATGTGCTATTATAATGATAACGATAACGACTAAATTGTGTCTAAATTGGGTGGCGATGTTTATTTACAGAAAACACTTCTACGTACGTACGTACGTACGTACGTACATATGTACGTATAAGTACAATACAAAGGCTTATAATACTTATCAAGAGTTAAAATAATGAATGTTTACAAGGGCTAGTAATGTACCGGGGGATGCTAACGACTTGATTCTACCCCTGTCAACTTTTACAACATCCCCTTGAATTTTGATTATTATTTGCACTATCGCTATTTGGTCGTACCAAGTAAATGAGCTTTTCACCTGTAATACAGTAATAATCTCCCCAAATTATTGTTACACTATCTTCTTGGCTGTTCACTCACGACGAAATCCAATTTACATTAATAAGAGAACTATTGTTGTTTTATATACTAACCATATTACTAAATTTCAATTGATAAGCCGTTAACGTAAATTATAGCTTTAAATGTTTGACATTATTTATAATCAAATGTTTTTATTTTTATAAAGTTAAATCTTTTATTTGCAACACAGCGCGAACCTAGTTTTAATAAAATTTTTAATAGCCAAATATGTATTATCCACTTATGTTTTTGTAACTAAAAAAAAAAAAAAAAGAGTTTAATTTTGATTATTCCGAACATATAACGTTAAAAGAAATCAGACCTTGATATATGGAATTGTCGTAGCGGTATATTTAGAAGTTACTTTAGTTGAAACAAAATTTCAAATGCATCCCTAGTTGGTACAAAATCTAAAAGCAACTTAAGTTTGTACTATTTATGTTGTAAGTGGGAACGGAATTTAAGTGGTTTTGGAATTTCTTTAATAAAACTACAATTTTAGGTACGTACGTACATATGTTGTAAGTGGGAATGGAACGATAATAGGGTTCGGAATCCACTTAGATTAGAACGGAATAATTATACTAAAAATCCCAACCCTAACCTTAAAAATTTCTAATCAACTTAAATTCTATTCCCACCTACGTACAATGTATATATAGAATTTATCTTATATAACGATAAACTATACCCTGACCCTAAAATCATATGAAATTTCAAAACCGATACCACTTAAATAATACGTAGATAATTAAGGTAGATTTTATAAATCTACAAAATTTATAAATAAAATTTTCTACGTACTGAATTAAATTAGATTTTCATTGATGTTGATATCTTTTACGTAGAATTTTAAAATTTTATATTGTTTTTTAATAGATATTTAATTTTAAACAAAGTTATATATTTAATATCTAACCAATTTGATAAAAATTTTACGTATAACAGGGTGAAACTCACGTTTCCAATTAGTAAAATTCTCATTGCAAAATCCAATTTAGGTACGTACGTATTTATATAAAATAAGAAAATCCAATATGGGCAGTGTTGTAATTGGAATAATCTACAGTAATTCGAATCCAATTGGAATAATGAACTAATGGAATTTGGACTAAGTTTCAATTGGTTCAAAAAACAATTATTCAATTAAATCTAGTTTTTTATATACGTAATATTATACAATAAATTTGTATTAAGTCAAATTAGAATTAGTTGATATGTATATAAAATTGTATTAAATCAAATTAGAGTTAGCCAATAAAATTGTATTAAATCAAATTAAAGTTAGCCAATAAAATTATATTAACCAAATTAAAGTTAGCCAATAAAATTGTATTAAATCAAATTAGAATTAGCCAATAAAATTATATAAATCAAATTAGAGTTAGCTAATAAAATTGTATATTTTGTTTATATAATTTATACAAAATTTTATTATTTTTTACTTTAACAATTCTTTTTTTATTTTTTAAATTAGTAATAGATTATAGTAAGATCTTAGTTGGCTAATTCTATATTTTCTATACTATAAACTATTTTATATTTATACAAATAAAAAATCTCTTGATCTGTTTTATTATTATAGCAAAATCATAATAAACCAAGATTAAGTGCTAGAGTATAATTCAGAAGCAATTTGTCTAAATTTTTCTGTTTTTTTTTAGGATTCTCAACTTTTTGAAAATATAAAATTTTCTTTGTCTTCTTTTTTTCTTCTTATAACTAATAATAGTTTAATTTAAATTAGTTTTTAAATAGAAAATTAAGAGATGATTTGCTACACTTAAATAGTTATACAAAATATAATAGATAGTTTAAATTAATATTATTTTAATACAATTTGTAATTAATTTTATCCTATATATAGCAAATTTAAAATAAAAAAAAATATTTATATATAAAATTTCAGATATCAACCGATAATTTTATTACTCTTATCAGAATTATTGCTTTATAATAAAGTGTCATCAATCTAATATTATTTTTTTATAGAAAAGTAAAAAAAATAAATAAATAAGCATAAACTAAAAAAGGTTAAATAAAAAAACAAATATATAAAAAAATAATTACATTATAAAGAAATTTAAAAACTATTTTAAAATCTACAAGAACTTATTTACAAATATAAAAACATACTAACTAAATAAAAAACTATCTATATAAGTATAGAAATCTATACATTAAATTATTTGACAACACTAAAAAACTCTCCTTAATGATTACTCATACCAAATTTATGGCTAATGAAAACAAAAACTTGTTAAAGAAAAGTAGAAGAGACAACTACAATAATAGTTTTTACAGAGATCAAGCATCTTACCTCAGACTTTTCTGTATATTTGGCATGCAAGTTAAAAGCATTTTTGTACAAGACAACTGGCAAGAAGGTGGTGTCTTTGTACAAAAATTTTAATAGAAGCATTGCTTTTGTTGACAAAATTAAAAATAGTTGGTCTAAGGAGAACAACAAGCGAGTTTTTAATACACTTCTTACTGAAGTTTAATGCTACCTGCAAACTGAAACTCTCTTCTATATCCACTCTCTTGGTTTTTGCGAAATTTCTCTAAAAATGGTATACTCCTATCAAAAGATCAATAACAATAATTGCTGCTAAAAAAGAAAATACTTGTACATGTGTATATATATGCTTTAGGTTATAGTATTAAATACTTTTTTTCAAGAGTTTACGGTTATTACACTGATAGTGCACAATCTGCTAATGTGAGTTAATAAACAACAGCTCGCAAATTTTGCTCAGGAAGTTATAGGTTAAAACATTGCAGAAAGCTTGTCGATAGTTTGGGATAGTATTAAGAAGTTTTGACTCTTGGAGCTCTACTTCAAGACCAGATGGTTTTTGATATTTTTACATCCTAGATATAGACATAAATAACTAGCATAGAGTTTTAATCTAGATTATTTGTAGTACTATATAATATAATTTTTACAATCCTGCACAGGTTTAATAGTACTATCTTTGTTTTCTTTTCTTTTTTTTTCTTTTTTTCATTATTTATTTTATTTGGTTTTATTGATTTAGGCGGACCTGAACTCAACACCATAGTATTTCTCCATTTTTGTTATGCTCTTTGCATTTGTATTTATATTTCTTTTTTTTTTATAATTCGGCAATCCTGCCCTTGTTTATTTGGGATCAAGTTATTCAAAATTACAAGTTATTCAAAATTAC